CAACAATAAAACTTAATTTTTATCTAAATACTCATATATCTGGTCATCATGAAGTCATCTAAATATTTGTTAAATAGTCATAGGCAGCATCTGTTCGTGTATTTTTGCATTGTTTTTCAATATAAGTGGATTTTTTAATTTTAGATATTGACCCAGTGGTTTTCGAGTTTCAAAATTCACAGTTAATAGGGAATTCGTTCTTCGTTATTTCTGTATTATGCTGTTGGAAATACTGAATGGAAATTGATAACTTTTGAAGATTATTCCGTACAGGTTCTCTTTTCTCGTTTCACATGCTTCCGGTATAAAAATTGCTCCTTTTTGCAGGATTTTTCATTCTTCGTTGAGGAAGTTTTAATACTCGAAACGTAGGATCCGTTCTCTAATTCTTGGAAGGTTAGCTTTTATTTGGACGAGATTAGATGTGTAGAAATGCATTAGTACGGTTTCCCAGTGAAACGGATCTTTCACTTAATTTAGCACAGTAACAATATTACGAGTTTCCTTCGAGGCGAGTCCTTAATTTGTCTCCCAATCAACTGCTGCAAATTGAGTGGAGTCTGTTATATCTTTTCGAATCGTGCCTTCCGTCCTGAATGTTTCTTTATACTTCCAACACGAATCTGATTGTGATTTTCTACGCTTAAGGTAGGGTCTTTAATACAAATCTTAGTCACTAGGCCGTCCAATTAGCGCAGTATTCGAATATAGTTTAGGTATCTGTTTCATTCGCTGTTATACCTACATTGATTATATCATCTTGTTGCCTATTACATATTACAAATTATATTGTGTATGTATATGTGTGTACATGTTACATAAAGTGATTTAAATACTTCATATATCCTATTGTAGAGAAACTATTACATATCATACTTTATCATAGTGTGTTGATTAGTATATAATTAAGATTCTAATGTTATAAATAATAACAAAATAAATAATTTTTAATATCTAAAAATATGAATACAATATCGTAAACAGTAACGATAGACTTGTTCACAAAATGCGAAGATGATCATTTATAAGAGTCTTTCCTGTTTTTAGTAATTTAGATTAATATTTTTAAAAAAGAACCACGTATCAGAGGTATACGAAGATTTTAACAAGCCTAGAAGTTAGAGTATGGAAATAATATTTAACCCTTTGCACTCGGCGATTTTTTCGTTATAGAAAAATAGTAATTCCAGGACTTTCTGCCATAAAGCCGACGATATTTTTAAAACGGCAAATAAGAAATCGTGTGCAAATTAAGACGTAAAATTATTTTGTTTCGATATTCCACGCGTCCTTGGGTAATTGTAAATTTGATATATTAATTAACCATCTTTACAAGTTGATTAAATGACGACTGAGATGCGTCTCTCGAGTGCAAAGGGTTAATAATATTTTTAGGGCTTTTCAAAAGATATTTATTTGGAATTTTATTACAATCTTCTATTAAAAAATATTCAAATGACATCGTACATATTTGCATTTAATTTATAAAGTAGGATAAATTATAGAATTTTTTAGTTTGTACTTTATATAAAAAAATAAAATTAGCATTATAGTATTATCTTGCAAAAAATAATTTTTATGTAAAAGCAATATCAAATTCCTTCCATTAACGATATTATTGGTAGAAAAATGTATCTTTATGCAATATTCCATTTGTTTTATTAATTTTCCACAATTATCGTTGTGGTACACTTATAATATATTCTTAAAAGGTGTAATTGTTTACTTTTAATTATTCTATCTACTTCCTTATTATCACATTTATATCGTAATATATCTGTTATGCTCACCCACAATAGCTTATTTCATCCGGATTTATACGTATAATTTTACACAAGTGTTTGAAGTAGACTCTTGATGCACACGTTCGGAACGGATAAAATTAGATTAAGTTGTCTATGATTGAGGTAGATCTGATTAATAGTAAGATCTAACGTTAGAACCAGACGCACTCAATTTTCGATCAAGACTTGGGTTTTCCGAATCGAAAACGATGTTTCACTTCAAGTAGCGTTTAAGACATACATTAGAATGTAAGTGATAGCGAAATGGTAGAAGAAAGTCTATTTACGTGTAATTCAGAGCTTAGAATACTAAAAAATAATTCATAAATATGAAAAAGTAAAGTGTTAAAATATAGCAAGTTATTTTCTTTCTAGTCAAGAATTAAATAAAGACAATTTTTAAATAAGCTAACGAATAATTTGATTTTTCCTTAGATAGGTATTAATTTTATTAGCTAATAGTTCTACGATGTATCGTGTAATTGATATAAGATCAATGAAAACCAAGAAAAGAGTGAATCTGTGCGAAAAAAAGAAATTGAGATACTTTTATGGTTTTAAGAAAATCTTATTTCAATACAATTAAAAATATAACTAAAGTTACAAAAAATGTTTTATTGTTGTGAATACAATTTCATTCTTCGCGGTTTCATATTAAAAAAGAAATTGTATAGAAAATTTTTCAGTATCTTAAATTGTTTGGTACTTAAATACATATATACATACATTATAAAATAAAGTTTGATTTTGTAGAGAATGTTGACTCTAATGAACAAATTTTTTATAACATTCCTATTCCTTGAAACGTATAAATAATTTTCGAATTCCTTAAATATTATAAATTTTTCGATAACAACTACGGCTGAAATTGGTTAATTTTTACTACATTTCGTTAGTCACAAAATACACACTACACTATAATAGGTGGTTAAAGTTTGGTATTGTGTTGTTTTTCTTCTAAGAATAAAATGTGGTCATATAAATATCCATTACATGGCCACATATGCTTTAGAAAGTTTACTTTCTCAAAATATAAATATTTTTATTTATGACAGAAAATCTTAATAATCTTTAAAATTTACTTAAAGAAATTACTGGAAATACTTTTTTTATGTACTAGTATACGTCGCGTATGATCTTTCCTATTACCAATTTTGTCACGTAGGGTAATAATTATAGTAATATTAATTGTAATAATATTAATAGAAAGATTTCTACGACTGCACGGCTTCACGGTACGGTTTATTCAAAACCGTTCCGTCCGCAAAGGGTTCAAGCCAGTCTTTTTGCAGTCTGTTTTCGGTCTAAGAGTTGTCAGTGTGTCAAAGTCTAAAGTTAGTGAGTTTTAAGAAAGATCAGAAAAGCGTGCCCATAGCGAGTCTCTCTTATTTCATAGAAAGCCGCCATCATTCTATTTTATTAAGAAGCCAACGATACTATCTTAAGTCAATTCCCCCAAAATAGAGATCCCACATTTATTATACCAAGTGTCCCAGCAACGGTAGTATTGTGGTGGATAATGAAAACTTGACGGTGTCACTTATCAAACTATTTATTAATAATATTAATTATTACAAGGATTCTCTCTACATTTCTAGATTATTATTTATCGCACATTCTCACGCGGCAAAGGGACATTCACACACCACATGGTCGGACACACACTCCCTTGTTCTTCGCGCTTTTGTTTTCTAGTTTTACCATCCATCTACATTCACTCGTCACCACGCAAATTTATCGCACATTCTCACGCGGCAAAGGGACATTCACACACCACATGGTCAGACACACACTTCCTTGTTCTTCGCGCTTTTGTTTTCTAGTTTTACCATCCATCTACATTCACTCGTCACCACGCATCACCTCTCACTTGTACCAACTTAAAAGCTAAACATCCCCACAGGTATAACCGGGAAGAAGGTGATTCTACATACAGAAACGAATCGCAGAAGAAAAGAATAAAATTTTTTGATTCGAAGCTTCGTTTTCAAGAAAATCGACTTTGAATATTGACAGAGTGCACGTGCATTTAACTATATCTTAGATGGATAGACCATCGATACATCAGCATCGTTGTTACAGCCGAGAAGAGAGCGATTCTATGAAAAAATAAATCGAAAATAAAGAATAAAATTTTTTCATTTGAAGTTTCGCTGCCAAGAAAATTGACTTTGAATACTCCTCGAATACATTGATATACGCCTTAGTCAAAGTTAAGTGTACGCATACTCGGTGAATATTCAAAGTCGATTTTCTTGAAAATTTCGAATCAAAAAATTTTATTCTTTTTTTTTAATTCATTTCTGCATATAGAATCACCCCCTTCCTGGTTGTACTACCGTTGCTGGGACACCCTGTGTTCGAAAATACTATATAACTTTTATATTATATTTTATATAATATTCTTTATTAGTCAGATATTTCAAAGATATTCTGTTTTCGTATTTTACATTTATTAGATCGGCGTATATCACTGTTAAATGACGTAATTTATATAACGCAGCACATTCTTTGTTTATAGTGAAGATACGGTAAAAATCAGTTCCAATATGTTTCTAGAAGTTGATGAAGTAGCTATCATTATAGTAAAATTATTATCCCTTATATTTTCGAGACTTTTGCTTTCTTCCTAATATACTGCCATAATAATACGACAATACAATAAAACAGCAACAAATTGTTACCTGTAGCAAAAAGTCACTGACTTTTTACATATTGTTCACAATATTTCACATATTGTTCGAAACGAACGAACATTTGCTCTCCTAACCTAGAAAATGCGAAAAACAGATATCGTTGTAAACGTGTTGAACCTTACTAAACGTATTTGTACACATATAATCGACTAGGAATATTTGTTTAATCTGGCATACATATGATACGATTTGCGATAAGTGCAATAACACTTGAGTTTTACGACTACGTTTGTTTCGCGCACACGTGCGTTTCTTCGCAGCTCTTTTGTTCTTCTTCCTCGCAGCGCGGCGGAATTAGCCGAACGAGAAACCGAAGGGACTTCGGACCCTGTCGGCGAGTTCGTCCGAACTAGTGCAGCGCGCGAAAATATAAACCTCGCGATTCCTATTACAAATATTCACCAACGAATGCGTGCATTAAATTATCACATAACACTTCATTTTGCGTAAGAATTTGTTATTTCTGCTTTCAATACCTCTGAGCCACGTGTTCTTCGTTCTGTTTTATCTGTCTATGCAGAGATATACCCACCGAGGCTTTCAACTCGTACTGCTGGATACACAGTACTTATTTCGTAACCGGAGCCATGCTTGGTATTAGCGGCGTAGATGTCGTGGCACCTGGAGTTGCGCCCTCTCATGGAAATCGCCATTATCGTCCAGGAGATCCAGCATATGGCAAAGAATGGACGAAGAACGTGAAGTACTATCAGTGGGTCGCCTTTGTTTTGGTATTACAAGTGAGTCAATTCTTATATGTTTATATTCTTACCGCTTATAGTTTCTTGAGTTTTGCTCATTTTTATTATTATTTTTTTTTTATTATATTTACGCGATGCTTATTATTGTTTATGCATTTTATTTATGAAGTCTACCTTGGGATTTGGCTCTGTTAATGATGTATATTTACATCTATGTATTTAAGATCGTACTTGGAGGGATCGACTAGAATAATATTGCAATGCTTAACAGAACAAAAATAAATTTTATTAATAGAATAACGGATTAATATAATAACATAGTAACTATGCAATGCTTGTCCCGACTGACCACGACCTCACTCCACCTTTTACTCTCACGCTCTGACAATTTTCTTATAACTGACTTCTAAAATTAATTTCTACGGTTGATAACTTTTAGACTGATTGACTTCTACGACTAGTTACATCGATTTAAGTCGATTTAGAAATCGATATACCCTGATTTTTCTTACGGAGATAGAGAAAAATTCGAGATTTATAAATTGCACTAAATGATTGTCAAAATAAGTTAAATATAATATAGGTATTTAAGATCGGGATATTTAAGATTAATTGAGAGGGATCGATTAGAATAATATCACGATACTTAATAGAACAAAAATAAGCTTTATTACTGGAATAACGGATTAATATAATACAATAGCAACTATGCAACGTTCTAACAATTTTCTTCTAACCGACTTCTAAAATTTGTGATTTAAAATTGACTATTGATTTCAAACTGACTTTCAATACTGACTTTAAAAACACGCTGGCTTTGTCATAAACATCCCTTACACTCGATCCCCTTGCACGTGGTCACTTTTGTTCTATATCCTAAAAACTCTTAACATACTTTCAGGACCACATTCGTTCTATTCCTACAGGTATATAATAATTATTGAAACGTATGTGTAATAATTTTTAAATATCGTAAAAATAATGCTTATATAAGGGTGTTTAAAAAATAGGGTCTAGTACTTAGAGATCTAATAATATTCGTTAAGAGGACTAAAAAATGTCTAATCAACAAAGGTTCCGTAATCAGTTCTTTGAATCTTAAATTTACTTTTATTATTTAAGAGTATTCGATATTGCGAGAGAGTTTCTTTGCAACATATTAAATATAAACAGAGAAACGAATATTCAATACATATGTAGTATCGCAGAATTTTCATCTCGTGTATAGGTGACTTTAGTTTGGAAGGTCGCGAAGGGTTCGAGGGCCGGGTCGGTTGGAAAAACCTCGGCGATGCGTCGGGCCCTTAGCATGACCATATTTGGTCATGTTGGGGGAGGCTTTTGGGGAATATATAAAGAAGGCAAAAATGGTTGGCGGACAGTTATGTTGGGACAGTTCTTGTGTAGAGTCTTTAGGAAGAGTTCTTGGGAAGAGTGGTCAGAAGAGAGTTGTATTTTAGTTGTAACGAGTCGAGTTGTAATTGTGTTGTTAAGTTGTAGTAGTTGATATATTTATATTCTTAGGTTTTATCGTCACCACATATTGTATTATTATTTTATTACTAATAAATAGTTAGTATTATATTAACCCCACCCATGTCTCTACAAATATTTCTTTCGTTGCATTATAAATTTATATCTACGAACCAAATATAGCTTCCAATCCTTGCACTCCGCAATATGCATTTTCCGTTCGTTGTCATACTTTTGTATTATTTATAGTGATGAATAGTCCAAGATTTTCAAATGACCTCATGAAAAGGTATCCCAGGATCCGGAATTACGACAACCTTGCACCGATATATTCTTAAACTAATTCCTCTATTTACATGCAGTGTGCTGCGAAGGATCTCATAATATCGGAAAAGGATTATAGTACTTATGTCGATTACACTTTTTTTACTTCTCCAAGTGAGTACTATAAATCCTTCGTGTCTTGAAGCTTACATTTTAAATATCCTGTATAATAAAGTTTCTACCTGAATAAAAGATGAACTTAATCTTGTCAAAGAAGCTATATGTTCTTAGTAATTGTGTAAACAAAAAGTTTGAAATTAATTACTTTGGCTGGTTTGATAGATGTAGAGTTAAATAAATGAAGGTGAAGATACACTTTTAAACTTTTAAACTTTATGATTAAATTAATGGATATAAATTGTGCTCACGGTTGTGAAATAAATTTGAAGTAGTGGGTTTACATAATTTATTAACACTATATATGAATAAATTTCTGACATACAGCATATTCGTAATTAATGCAAAACATCGAAATCGATTAAAATTCATGAGGGAGGTCTTCGCGAAATTAATTTTATGTATGTGGAATTGACCAGGTCCATTTAATACTGTTGCAATATGTGCTTAAAATTCCGAATATGTTACACACGAGATAAATTAATCTTCTATAGTAATCTTAAATAAGTTACATTCAAAACAAAGAGACACCGCAGTTAACAAATTTTGCAATAGTTTTGAAAATTATTATGATTTATGAAACAGTAGCTTATAGTAAATTACAGAAACAGTATAAAAGATTTTTGGTTTCATTGCATAATAGAAAATATAGAGTCCGATAGATAGTAACATATAGAGTGTGATAGAATCAGTAGTACAACCAATAACGAAATGATTTTTCACGAGAAAGTAAATAAAAAGTTTGCAATAAAATCCTTTTATGCATTTGACATTTTATTTCTAATGAAATCGAGTTTAAAAATGGTACAAAGTATATTATTCAGACTTTACACAATTTCATGTTATTAATGAATACAACTGTACTATAATTATTACATAACATTCATATAATGTATTATAAATATGTATAGTAAATCAGGACAAATTAATATTACTTTATATAATATCGCACAAATTTTAATTCTTCATTTTCATTTTCTCCATAAATTAATTAAAAAATTTTTGATTTTTAATAAATATCGGTAAAAATAATGTTATTGATGATATGTTTTATAAAAAAAAGAAGAAAAATATGCATACGTATACATATAATTGTATTAAATCCTCAATACGTAATTTAAATGCTTAATGAAGGACTTAATACAATTCTGTGAATTCTGATAGCAATGTAAATGAGAATCAAATATGAAGCAAAAGGTTGCACTAAAAGTTGAACGAGAAAAGTGTTAGTGGTGAATGAAATTTAATAATAATAAGAACAATTATTTATTTAATTACAAAGATTATCAAACACAAATATTGGGTTAAAATATAATTATTTTATCATTATCACATGCTCACACGTTTTCTCTTTATTAATACTCAATTCCAACTGACATATGCCAAATCACTCTTTTTTTTTTCTTTCATAGATTACATCACGTACACAGTTCACACAACACCTCAATCATTATACGCATACTCATTTATCATAGTAACCTGAATTCATTAGATATTTCCATCCCATGCATACTTGTTCCACTCATTCCAATACATGTATATTTAAAAATCTATGTAACCATTGCTACAAAAAGTATTTATAATTAGATGCTATGTACATTTAATTATTTTTGTTTGATCAATTGCGATGTATTGGTTCTATCAGTTATAATTTATTTAAATAATTTAAATTAAAGGTATACGTTCCGTTTTATTTCGTATACTCAAAATAATTAAGGTATAGCGAAGTTCGTTAAGGGACGTATTACAGATGTATTGCGCAAATCATTGCGCAAATCAATTCGATGTTTTCTTGAAGAAAATAAAAGTTGTACTTACAGATAAAATAATATAAACTTAATCATCGAAACAGTCTCCAATTATGTAACTAATTATAAGTTAATGAAATTACCTGAACGTTTAACGTATTTTCCTAAAACTGCCATAAAATTCTTTTTAATTGGACTAATTACAAAAATTTAAAATAAAAATGATGAATTCAAAGACACTAAATTAATTTATACTTTTTTATTCCGTAAATTTTCAAATTCTATGTTCCTAAAAACTCCATTTTCTAAATAAAAAGAAGGGAAAAGATTTTATTCGTTGTATTCGATTTGTTTATATCTTACACAATTACCCCCTTGTCAGTTTTATTATTTGTAATATAATATAAATATAATGTAAATTAATACAAGCTCATACGAATTTAATTACCGTAAAATTTCCGGATATTAACGGAAATTTAAGCAGTCACAGGGATATGTGTTCCCAAATCGGTGTAATGCATGGATAAACACGTTTTCGTAATGAAACACGTGTTCCCGAAGGAAGCACACAAATAGAACGTGCCAGTGCGGATATGATTGATTTGTGTTTAAGGAGTCGGAAAACGGGAAGTGAGCTGATTGACGTGTAGGTGTTTCCGACCGTTTCGGCTGAGCACAATGCGAAATTGATTATTTTGTTTTTCACGATACGCATTCTCTTTGAACCCCGTCTGTACTTAGATCGGTGACAAGAACTCGAAAATGGCGAAACGCTTCGGTATACTTTGCTCAAGTATCGTCGATTAGTTCCATGTTTGGAATGTTTAATTACAACCTGTTCGAATTTTATTTTAATGCATTTGTTACATTAAATTTTTGTATTATTTTATTATATCTCATTTATCGAACGTTTTTGCGTAAGAAAATTTTTAATCCAATTTCGATTTAACCTCTAAAAATATAATAATATTAATTTATATAATAATACATTTTTTACGTAATACGTAACATATTATGTAATACATTTTACATAATATGTAATATATTAATTATTCGTAATAACAATCTTATTAATAATTAATATTAATTTTGGAATAAATATGATTTTCTGGACATCTTTTATCTACTCTTTTTAAAATTACCAATAGTTTAGGCATGTGATGTATTTATAATGTAATCTGTAGAAACAAAAATTTCATTTTGGAAAAGATGTAATTTTTATTTTTTACTAATATATTATATTTTGTTCATTAATTTCTTGAAGTATTAGGAGTTTATTCAATATCTAAATCATCTAAACTTGTTACAATATATTGCTATACTTTATCGGACTATCTATTATCTATTATCTATCTTTCTTCACATCTTAAACTAATAAATTCGAAAAGTAAAATAAAAATATTTTTAATCTTGGATATGATCCCAAAAATTTATGTATTAAAATTTGTTTAAAAATGTTTCTATATATTAAATTCGTTTTTTAATACTATATTCCATGTATTAAAATTAAATGTAGGTTTCACTGAACAATTAAAATAATATTTCGAAACTGAATAATAAAAATAATTTCCCATTAATTATATTGTAATGTTGCAATGGTGAAAGAAATTATTTTTAAATCAAATTTTCATTATGATATTTAATCTCTTGAAGTAAATCATTTATTTCTAAACATATTCTTTGTTAATATCATTATTAATAACGTAATATATTTGTAAACATATGTTACTAAAACAAAATAGCTTTATTATTCCCTTATATTAATGAATATTGAAGATATTTCAAAGACAAGATCTGCAACTTGTAGAAATGTTCAATGCTACTCAGGAATTTTCATGTTTGATATATTACGACAAATTGTTTGCACAAGTATAATTTACAACTTCTAGTTAGCTAAACATACACAGTCCCGTTCAATTCAAAGAAAAATCGCACGATGGTCGTTTACGTTGTAGTAAAAAAAGAAATGCTTATATTACTATTACCAGTCCAGAAACACTTAGAACTTCTCCTTTAGTTACCCTTATTGAGAGCTTCATAAAGTGAATTATGAATTCCTAAAATTAGAAAAGAATAACAATTGCTCACTGACAGAAACGAGGTAGAGATACACTTTATGTATGTGCCAGATTTAAATTTCTCTGTATGAGAAAGGTAACGTAGAAAATAAATTTGATTATCGAAATTAGTATATAAATTAAAGTTCACAAAATTAGTCAGTATGTAGTATTACCTAATAATTAATAAATAATTGCAATTTCTGCAATAAGTAATTGATTAAAAATAATACCAAATTGTATTGAGAAGTCTTAGATAAGTCTTTCTTTCGCAAATTCGCAATTATTATTATTGACTGATGAGATTTTATCTATTTTCATTTCTAACGTAGAAATTTTTATGCGTTTTGTATTTATGTAAAAATTATTTTCAACGAAAATAATGGAAACAATAGAAGATATGGTTAAGTCTCTTATTTGTTCATTGAAATCGATTTACATAAATAGTGAGAATGATTGTAGTCAAATTAACAAACTTCTGATCAATTTCCTTTTCATAAATTAGATATTAACAGGCATATAATGATCTATGAAATAAGAAACTTTTATATTTTTCGTATTAAAGAAAAATATGGAACATAACTCTCGCTAAATGTATATTTTATTGTAAAAGCCCGAAAATTTGTAAATCCTGGATTTTGTTAGTAAATTCTAGCATTTACCATAGCGAGGTGGTAAAAGTCCAAAAAAGCTTGTAAACGCTTCAATTTCGGGGTTTTATCAAACTATGTCGATAAATATCAAGATTCACCAATACTAATTGGTAAAAGTTTGAAATAAGTGACGAGCAAGCACGCATATTCGAGGCTACGTGAAGCAAGACAGGAAAAATGAAAAACATTAAAACGAGCAATTGTAGTTAAACTTATTACAGAAAATGAAATAAAACCTAACCTAAATGTAACGCAAATTGAAACTGACTTTTATCAATTAGTGTTTGATAAAAGCACGAAATAGGAACATTTACAAATTGTTTTTGGATTTCAAATTCAAAATTTTCAAAATAAAGTTGATAATTAGCTGTTTTTAAATAAAGTTAACGATGTCTTTTATTCAGGTAGAAACGTAATTATATATATTTTTATTATAAATGTATTATACATAATTATATTTACTTTTCCTATTATACTTCACTTATTATTATCATTATTATTATTATATATGTATTTAAAATTTAGAAAACTTGAAAATTTAAGTATGTATATTTGTATCATTCTTTCTACATGATTTATAATTAAACGACAATTTTATCATATTATATTTATATTTACACGATTTTAGCAATTTGACAAGTTAGGAATTAGTGGTTAATGCTGTGCTGCACGAGAATAAGTTAATTAGAATGATATTAAATATCTCTGATTATGAAAAAAATAATAAAACATTTTATTATTTGCATGTTTAATTAAAATATTACAACTGAGAAGCTCAATTCTAAAGGAATTTGAAACCTTATATAGCTAGTTTCAAAGAATTATTAAAAGAAAAAATAAGCAAGAGATATTTTTAACAATGGAAGTGATTTTAGTACCAATAACAAGAAAATGAATTGCACTTTAATAGAAAGTGACGACGAATACCGATTTTAAACTAATTTTCTTTTCATTTTCTTTAATACATTAGGTTTTCTTCCATGCGTTTTTTCAATAAAATTTTTCCAATGAATGTGTTACTCCAACACATGTTTCACACATTGCCATAAATCAATTTTTACACAATTTTCTCTTGTATGATACGCATGCATCGTGTAGAGGGAAATCCATGTGTACGTAAGCACAATGAACATCTCTATTGAAAATATTGCTTAGCTGTTTGGAAAATCACTATAACTAACATATAGGATACCTGTCAAAACAAGAAACCCATTATAAATAAAGAAAATATTATTTAATTTGAAATTAACGATTCACATCATATAATTACATTAAAAGAAACTAATTTCGCTACAATTATTATTAATTATTCACTATTAATAAAAAATTGAATTTTTTGTTTTAAATTACATAATTTAATAAAATCAAGTAGTAAACAAGAAACATGTATTATGATAGCAACAAAGGGTTGGGACAGGTAAATCTGCACATTTTCTTTATTTAATAAAATAATTTATTTGACTGAGCTAATCTTAAACGGCATTTCCACGTGACATTTTCACTAAGATTGAAATTTAATGAGAATGGCATAACGACACTAATAACTCTAACGACTTAGCCAACAACAACCAACACAAAAATAAATAAGGTGAAACAGTGACCATATAATACTTGGACCTAGTGTACCATAATTTATACAGAATACCATGCACTATTTTATAAAGTATAATTCGAAATGCATATTGTTCTATATCTTCAAAACTAATCCGCTGTATATATGAGCCGTTCACTGCACAAATGGTTTAACTCCACTTTTTGAAAATTTTAAATTTAAGTGTCAAAGTACTTGGTATAGTCATAACTTTTTATATTTATAATAACTTTCCCCGATAATTAAGATTAACACCGTTAAACGACAAAAATTTTTTGGCCACTGAATAATAAATAATTTATTTCAGAGGTCACTTTGATTAACTCCGTACTCTAACGTAAATCGTTGCAATAATGCAACTCAAATGCACTAGCAAGCCACGAATGATAACGGTGAATTTTTTAGTGCCGTCTTATCAGAATTTAAGTAAAATTTAGTAAAATTTAAATTTATTACTTTTTTCACTTGCTAAATTGATTAACTCTTCCAGTAACATAAAAATGGTAACATTACTAACGATTACCTTTTGGCTATTTTTTCTTATAAATTTTATATACCGTTAGATGAAAGTTACATTTGTATTTATGCATTCTACGATATTTATTTCGATTTAAATTATAAAGGGAATTTTAAAAAACAATATAAATTATTTCATTGCATTTCTCCACTTTTTGTTTTATGGAGTTAATCAATTTGTGCAGTGGCCGGCTCATATGTACAAGAAAGAAGAGAGCACCTAATCGGCAAGTTTACCTAATTAGCAGAGTTAATATTTAAATTTATTAAAAATTGAATAAAAGTCAGCAGATATTAAATATCTTACTCATAGAACCCAAATAAAAAATCATTCTTACGACACACATAAACCTTACTCAAACCACATTGCTATACATATACCGGGTCTACAAAAATTCCCCCTTAACCTTCCTTTTCCCCCACCCCAGTACTACGCAGCACCCTATGTTGTCTATCCCCAAATATGGACATCGTCTTCGTGAACCTCACCTATCATGAGAATTTCCCCTAACGGATTTGGTCTTCATTCTCCCTTTTATAACCCTCTTAGCAACCCTCCACAGTTTGTAGTATTTAACAAAATTACAGAATTATTTGCGCTTTACAAGAGTTAGGAGAAGGTAGCTCTCGTGTAAATGGGGCATTACGAAATTAAAATTCTTGGAATTTAATTGACCGTCCCTTCAAACGATTCATTTAGAAACATTAAAGGCTCAGAGCTTTTGGGGGCACAAGGAAAGAGCGTATTCGTCCTATATAAATTTTAGGTACGTGGTAGGCCTAAGGTACTTCGTCAGAGGTTTCTGAAATTAGACTT